GGCGCCGAGCCAAACAAAATAATTTTTAATGGAGTAAGGGGAGTTCTTCCTGTTATTTAGCCCTTTTCTTGCTAGGCAAAGTATGGTAATTGTCAAAGTTCCGAATTTCAGGTATGGGCTCTTTGAGTGACGAAGCCCAATACAGATGTAAACTCTTAGCCACTGCTAGGGAAAAACTATGATTGTAATGCCAATTCTCTTAAAGGCAGGTATGGGCTCTTTAAGTGACGAAGCCCAATACAGATGTAATTGGGCTTACACTTACATTCTACTGCTAAGGAAAAACTGTGGTTGTAATGCCAATTCTCTTAAAGGTCCTTTTAAACTGAGAAAAGAAACTGAGAAAATCTTTGCCGAGATAATTTACCATTTCTTTAACTGTAGGAACTTTCCTTTGATATTTACTTAACAGACCAAACAAAAGATTACGCTTTGCTTGTAATCTTTGCAAGCAAGGATTTTTCTCTCACTATTCCAAAGGTTTTTGCTACTCGTGGTCCTAAATCCACCCTTCACAGATCTCAAAAGACTGTTACTCGTGGACTAATGTTTCCACCCTTCACAGTTCCTCTCAGAGGCTCTGTTACTCATGGTCCTCAGTGGTCCCACACTTCACAATTCCTCAATAGCAGAGATTTTCCTGCTTTCAAGCTGCTTTTCCAGTGAAATTTTTGCTGATTCCAGACCCTTTTTTCAAATGGAGCTCCCTAGCACAAAGGTGGTTTAACTTTTAGTTACTCTTCCCTCCCTTTGTTCTCACCTCTCATAATCTTCCAAAGGCTTCCCTTGCTTCCGAGTGTCCCTTCCCCTTTGGGCTGTGTCTAGGCTCTTTAGCTGGACATGATTATAGTACACAGACACTGATGAGAGGTCAGTTACTCCTTCACCACTCAGGATAACCTAATATTCCACAAACATATTTAATCTAATTATTCTCAATCATCATCCATTGGTCTAGTTTAATTTCCTCAGTTTTATGTTGAGGCACCACAGGTCTAACCAAGCTGGCAGAGTGCTCCCATGGCATAGAATTGAATTATACTGTTTTTCGGAGAATAGTTTGAAGTGGAAAATATTAAAGAAACTGTTCATTTACCAGTGGGTCCTGATTCTGACCCAACTGATAATTTCCCTACAGTAAAGGTGTTCCATCTTTGTCAAATTGAGAACGGTATTCGTTTGCCCAGTGCAAGCCTTTTTTACACTTGGGACATACATCTGGAGGTTTACATGATCCTTGTTCCTTCTCTTTAGCATTCAGAGTTCTTTTCCCTTTTAAACATTCTTTTCTCTTATGGTCTAGCTTCCCACATTTATGGCATTTGATGTTAACTGGGGGATTTACCCTCTGATCTTCCAGCTGCCCAATTTGAGTTGTCATGTCAATATAGCACTTGCCTGCTTCAACTATAAGATTATTCTTCTGATCTCTCAACTGTTTTATATCAGCTGCCATGATCTTAATCTCATCTTTAAGCTGTTCCATTTGATATTTTAACTGTTGTATCTTATTTTCCATGATTTTTCTATACTGACTTTCTTTCAGCCTTCTACTTTTTATAATCTTTGCTTTTCAATTCTTAGAACCTTTGGCTGCCTTAAAGGGACAGAAACTCTTTAGCTGTTTTTTACTCTGGAGTCTTAGTTTTGGTTTTTTTTTTTTTTTTTTTTACAAACCTTCGCTTGCTCTATTTCTTCACCAGCCTCAATCTACCTCACTTCTTTTTAAACAGAACTCTTAACTGCCAAAAAGGGATTCAGGTGTCAGTGTCTCTCAAAAGCTACTTCCTGCTGGCGTTGGGCCGAAGATATAGGGAAAGGCAGTTAGAAGTTCTCTTCCCTAACTTAATAAACTCTTGCAACCTATTCCCAACCTTTTCTCTTTGCTGTTTTATGGAAGGCTTTTCTCACCCCTGAGGCTAAAGGCTTGTTTACTAAAGGTTCTTATCTTCTAGTTCTATCTTTTCTCTTTCCCTCTTGTTTAAAGGCCTTTTTTTCCTGCTTTTTTCCTCCAGACACTTCACAGAAGAGACTAAAGGCTTTTATCGGCTTTTTCCCCCACAGTAGTTAAAATTTGGAAACAGAAAACATTAGGAAAGAAGAGAAAAAAACAAATGAGAAAGGCCTGTGTTGGCTGTCTTTCTTAGGTATTTCTTTTCCCTCTAAATATTTCTATTTCTCTTCTTTTTCTTACTTGCTAAGCTTATTTCCCTCTCGGTCCGCATTCACTGAATCCTGCTCACAGCACCATTTGTCACATCCTACTCCTACCACTGCTTGTCAGGTCCCAGGACTGGCCAGGTCTCGGGCCCAACTTAACTAGGTTCCCCAGCTTCTAGATTGGCCAAAGGTCCCACTTGCCCTGAGCAGAGTTTCCCTTTGGACTTCCTCCCACTGTCTACAAAAGGCTTCACTTTACCTCCACATTTCCCTTTTGGTCCACATCCGTGGTGTCCTATTGCCCCCACTCCACTCCCACCATTGCCGGAGCTACCCCACCCAGAGCTCAGTCACCCCTTCAGCTCCAGCCAGCTTCCTTCTGACAGCCCCTCCAATTCTCTTTCCAGGGGCCATACTCAAGCCAGAAAGGGGCGTTCACTGACTTTGTGGTCTCAGCCTTTGTCCCGGCTGTTCCTGCTCCTGCCTCCCTCCCTTGGCAGGCTGCTCTAGGCACCTGGCCAGGGGAGGGGCCTGCCTCCCCCAGGGCAGGGACCCTCCTCTCAGGTCCAGTCAGCTCCTGCTGCCCTGGGCCTGGGTTTGTTGTCTATCCAAGGACAGTTCAGAACACCAGCATGCCCCGCTACACCTGATAGGAGGCTCTGGAGGACCCTCTGGGCCATCTGTGTGCCTTCATTTATGGGCACGGTGTACAATGTGCGTGCTCATCCTGCCTCTGGCCTTCCAGGGCCTTCCTTTCTGGTAGGAAGGGCCTGGGGGTTGGGGGGTGCTGGTGGGAAACTGGGGCCTGGAGCCCAGTACTGGCCACACTCAGAGACTCTCTTCTGGGGCCTGGTCAGGCCTGGCTACAGGCTAGGCTTCGATGAGGCTGAACTTCTGTGGCTCCAACCCCTCCCTCAGAGTCCCAAGCTATAAGAAAGATGCCTTCACTGGGCCTGTGACACCAGACCTCCCACCCAGGCAAAATCGCAGCCCAATTGTCCCTGCACATTCCAGATGGCCAGGGCAGTGCCCAGACCCTGGCCCCATCAAAAGCTACCCTTTGGCCTGTTGGGACCGAAGACTCCGCGGAGAGACCACTGTGCGCACATGTAAAAGCGAAGGAGTGTCTTTATTCAAGCACATGCTCGGGCTGCAGGATTTGACAGTCAAACTGCTCAATCTGCGATCCTGTTACAAGGGAAGTCTAGGCTTTTATATTATTCATTACAAAGCATCTTGGGTTGCAACAAAATGCTAGGGGAGATGGCGGGAGAAGGAGCCTGCGTGGGGCTACTGGTTGGCTGTTTCGGGGTCTAGGGGTCCTGATAGGCTGAAGCCTTTTGCAGTTAAGGACTTTCTAAGAAGGGCTGTATGACTGCTCCTGATAGGGGGTCCCCACCTTGGCTGGCTGTCCTTCCTTGGGTGTTGCTGCTTGTGATTTTTCCTGGAACTGGGCCTGGGGCCCAGATTAGAGCCCGAATAGAGCCCACCACGAAATGGAGTCATTGCTGCCTCTTCAGGCCCTGCACCCCTGGTGGTCTTACCACATGGCTCCCACACTGTACGGCCGGCTGGCATTCTTAGTGCTGGAATCCCCATTTTGCCAAAGGCACAAAGGAGAATAGCCCCTGGCCTGGCTGGCATGCAGGGTATGTGTGTGGGGGGTCACAGCAGACAGGCAAGACACTTTGGGGGTGGGGGGGGTTAAGGGGTTGAGTCTGGGGCCAGCTGACTAGCATCCAGCTACCTGTCCCTGAGCAGCCCCTTAAGCCTGGTCTGAGCCCTCTTCCCTGCCCTGCAGGATGAAGGTCTGCCCCCTCTCCAGGAAAACCTTTGGCCTCTGCAGTCCAGGCCTCTGTGTCTCCCAGGCAAAGAGGACAGCAGGGAGGGACAAGGCCTGAGCCAGGAGTGGAAACTGGGCCCCATCTGAGCTGTTTCTTTTCTGTTTCTGGGCTTATGTAACTGTGGCTACCCTTGCCTTCTCTGCCTCTGTGAACTCACCTGTCACCTTAGTCCAGGGACTGTGTGAGCTCCAACTGACTTAGCCCTTCACGCTGCTTGGCTGTGAGCAGGCTCTGTGTCCTGGGCTGGGCCGTGCAGCCCAGAGCCACGTGGTCCAGGGTAGCTGCTCAGCATGGCAGGCTGGCTGATGCTTTCTTGCAGGAAGGGTATCCTGCGGGCTAGCCTGATCCTGTGGAACCCTGAGGGTTGGCTCTCCAGGCTTTATTCCATAAGCAGAAGTGGACCCTCCTTTCCTATGAGCGCAGCCCACAGTTTCGCAAGGTTCCGAAGGCCAGGGAACAGTGAAGTTCTCAGGCTGGCCTCAGTACGCTTGGAACAAGACTGCTTCCGAGCCAGCTCCGCCCCCACCCGCCAGGTCCCCTGCCTCCACGACTGCCCAGGACAGGGTGGTATCCTCTGAGCTGAGGGGACAGGAAAAAGGAGGGTGAGCAACAGCCACAGGGCGCTGGGGTTGGACCCAGGGGCTAGAAAGGCCGGCGCTGTGAGTCAACCGCGGAAGCGTTTCCCACCTGGGCTCACAGCCCCATCCCAAAGGGCGGTGGGCGGAACTAGTCCGCTCACGGGTGGGGCGGTTAGTGGGCGTGTCGGATCCGCCTTCCGCCCGGGCGCCCCACCCCGGGTCGTCCCTACCCTTCAGTCCCGCGGCCCCGACCGTCTATCCCGCCTGGCTTCCCGCAGACTCTCCGCTCCTGGACTTCCCGCGCGTCCGCCCATGGCCGGGAAGGTGCTGTCACTGCTGCCGCCGCTGCTGCTAGCCGCGGCAGGCCTCGCCGGCCTTCTGCTGCTGTGCGTCCGCACACGCGACGTCCGGGAACCTCCCGCCCTCAAGGTGCGCGTCCGGGCACCCGGCACAAGTCCGGAGCGCCGCGGGTTCGGGCCCCGGAGCAGGGCAGGGCGGCTCGGAATCCAAGCAGGTCCAGGCCGCGCTCACGTATCCACCCGAGATCCCCACACGCGCTCTGCCCCCAGCCAGGCTGGGTGGGGTCCTGGGTGCGGGCCGGGGACCTGGCGCGGCGCGGCGCTTCCGGGGACGACGCGATGCTGGTGCTGAAGCCCGAAGTCCCGAGAATTTCGCCCTCGCCGCGGAGCAGCCCAGAGGCTGTCTCTCCAATCCCTAGATGCAGACCCCCGGGCACCCCGGCTTCGTCAAGAGCTGCTCTCCCCTGCCCAGCGTGGCCAACCCAAGGGAGCCCTGCATCACCACCCAGATTGCACATTAGAGGCGCATAGGCTCAGAGTCTGGCCCTGATGGAGAGCAACAGAGCCAAGACCACCTGGCCACCACTTCGGTGGCCCCGACAGTGCGGGAGCTGCCCTGGAAAAGGGTTTGGCGGAAGCAGCCGGAGCTGGTCCTGAAGGGCTTGGGGCGGAGTAACCTGGATCTCCACCCCTCCCAGGGCCAGTTCCCTATACTTGGCTTGTGAGGGTGGGGGGCGGGCTGGGGCGGACAGCCTGGACAGAGCCCAGGATGGGAGGTACGAAGAACGGAGCTTGGGTGCAGGACCACGGGGCAGGAGTGGCGGAGGTGGACTGGAAAATCTGTTTGGGCTCCCTGGGCTCTGGGGGAGCTCTTTGGGGTAAGGGCCTAGGAGGCGTGGTCTCCAGCCCGGCTTTCCCAGTTGGATCCAGGCCCTCACAAATGAGGCCCTGAGCTGGTCCCTCCTGCTGGGACGGTCCATCCAGCACCTGCAGCACCAGCTTTTCTCTCTGGCCTTGGCTTTGAGGCCTAGGAAGAGGGTTTGAGGATTTGATCTCCACACCCCGCCTCAGCTCATTTCTGCACCCTCAGGCTGGCCTAAGATCAGAGCAGATGGAGGCAGGGGGGGAGGAAGGAAGAGGGGCTCCTTCTGCAGTTAGGCTTCCCTTCCAGGGGACCTCGAGTTCCCAGGAGAAAGTTTCAAATGTGGTGCCAGGACCCTAAGTCTCTGACACAGCTCCCCCAGATTCTCCTTGCCAGGGAACTACTGACCAGTCCTGGCATGGACTGGTCAGTAATAGATTCCTGGCCCTCTGCCCTCCACCATTCTCCCCATAATCAAGCTGTGTCACTGTGGTTGTCCTTCTGTGAGTTTTAGCATAAGATTTGCCATGTCACAGGGTGGAGTGGGGTACCTTCAGAAACCCTGGATCCCCCAGCTAACTCTTTACCCTTACTCTCAGTACGGCATTGTCCTGGATGCTGGCTCTTCCCACACATCCATGTTTGTCTACAAGTGGTCAGCAGACAAGGAGAATGACACAGGCATAGTGGGCCAGCACAGCTTCTGTGATGTTGAAGGTGAGGCTCCCCAGGCTTGGACACTCCCCAGCCTGCACATTCACTCACTGTAGCACCTCAGGCCTTCTCCAGCCCTAGCTGATACAAGCGAAAGTAGTTAGGCCCCCTCTGGTTGATGCTGGGTGGGGCTCACTCCAGGCAGAAGCTCCAGAAAGAGGCTGGGCCCTCTGGGCCTGGGAGAGGCTATGGGCTGGTGAAGGGTGGAGGGTTTGGGCCTTCCCTAGCTGAAGACTGGCCTCCGCACCCCAGATAGAGCAGGAGGGCCTCTGAGGATCTGGGAGGCCAGGCCAGATGGACCATGGCTAGTGTTTTGTCCTAACACCTATGTCTACACCCACTCAGCAGAAGGCAGCCTCAAAGACTGAGTGGCATCTGAGTCCCTTTGTCTCCAAACTGAGTGTCTCTGGGGGCTTAAATGGGAAGGTGTGCCACCTGGATTTGGAGCCCAAGACACCCAGCCCTATTGGCCTATGGCCCACCTAGGGGCCCACCAGGCTTAGGTCCATCTCTCCACTTCCCTCTAGGTGGGGGCATCTCCAGCTATGCAGACAACTCTTCTGGGGCTGGCCAGAGTCTTGTTGAATGCCTTGAACAGGCATTGCAGGATGTGCCCAAAGAGAGACATTCAGACACACCACTCTACCTGGGAGCTACAGCAGGCATGCGCCTGCTCAAGTGAGTGTGTCTGTCCTCTGACTTTGCTCCTGGGTCCTCACAAAAGCCCCAGTACAGGAGGGCCCCATATACCCTCAGCAGTAGCCCTGTGTCAGGACCTCTGGATGGGCAGACCCCAGGCTCCTCTGCAGCAGGATCATGGCCACAGAGTCCTGTTTCACAGCCTGACCAATCCAGAGGCCTCAGCCAGCGTGCTTGCAGCAGTGACACAGACCCTGACCCAGTACCCCTTTGATTTCCGTGGTGCACACATCCTTTCAGGCCAGGATGAAGGGCTGTTTGGCTGGGTGACTGCCAACTACCTGCTGGAGAACTTCATCAAGGTGGGCCCAGCAGCCAACCACATGAGCTTAGGTGGAGGGTGAGGTGGGATGCCTATCCATCTTCTGATCCAAACTCCACTTTCCACAGTGCGGCTGGGTGGGCCGGTGGTTCCGGCCAAGGAAGGGGACGCTGGGGGCCATGGACCTGGGGGGTGCCTCCACACAGATCACCTTTGAGACAGCCAGTCCAGCTGAGGACCAAAACAATGAGGTCCAGCTGCAGCTCTATGGCCAGCATTACCGCGTATATACTCACAGTTTCCTCTGCTATGGCCGAGACCAGATCCTCCAGAGACTGCTGGCCAGTGCCCTCCAGGTACTCCTCCACCCCTGCTCACTCACACTGTGCTGTCCCCTTTTGGCAGGATTGAGAAGAGGTGGGTGCGTAGAACAGAGCTTGGCCAGTGGCCATACTAAGGAGGGCTTCTCCAAGCTGGGATTTAGTCACTGGGAGGGACAAGTGGGGAAGGCCCTAGCATGTGCAAAGGCCCAACAGCTAGGGAAGGGGCTAGAGAAAGGATGCCAGGAACAGATCTCAGGGGGCCTTGAATGCCTCACCAAGGGATTTGGTTTTTGTCCAGCAGGTGATGGGGAGCTGTAAATTGCTCCTGAGCACAAATCTGATGTTGTGGGGGATTCATCAAGCAGGTCCCCTGGGTGGGCATGGCAAGAGTTGAGTGGTGCCACCCACTCACCTGGTGATTCCCTCAGACACATCGCTTCCACCCCTGCTGGCCCAAAGGCTATTCCACACAAGTGCTGCTCCAGGATGTTTACCAGTCACCATGCACCATGGCCCAGCAGCCCCAAACCTTCAACAGCAGAGCCAGGGTCAGGCTATCGGGGACCAGCGACCCAGCCCTCTGCCGTGACCTTGTCTCTGACCTCTTCAACTTCTCCTCCTGCCAATTCTCCCGATGTTCCTTCAATGGGGTCTTCCAGCCTCCCGTGGCTGGAAACTTTATTGTGAGTCTGGGAAGACTGGGGTCTTAGGTGCCTTGGGTGCCAGAGGCCTGGCCACAGCATCACTGTGTCTGCAGGCCTTCTCTGCTTTTTTCTACACCGTAGACTTCCTGAGGACTGTGATGGGGCTGCCAGTGACCACCCTACAGCAGCTAGAGGCAGCCGCAGTGACTGTCTGCCACCAGACCTGGGCTGAGGTGAGGCCTGCTTACCTCTTCCTCCAGGGTTGCACAGGAAGGCTCAGCAGGCAGCCTCCCCAGTCAGCATGGAGGGGCCACAGCAAGCACGACAGACTCAGGCAGTGGCCAGGCTGTAGCTGGGAATTGAGAGCCAGGAGAGGCAGGGATTCAGGTCTTCCTCAAACCTGACCCTACACCCAAGACCTGGAGAGTAGAGGGAAAGGTGGAGCTAAGGCCTTGTGGCTGCAGGAAGCTTGGAGCAGACAGAGCAGAGAGGACTGTGGCTGGACAGGGGCTACGGAGGAGGGGAGAGGCCAACCATGGAGAAGTAAGACTGACAGGAGGGACTCAGCAGTAGAATTGGCAGGGATTGGGGTGAGGGGCGAGGGGTGGAGACCACCCTCAGGTCTCTGGCTTCTGCCACTGGTCAGACACTAGTGTGTTGCAAGGAAAAGATGGAGGATTTAGGTACATGAAGTGTGAGATGACCATGGAGGTTCTAGGAGAAGTGGGGAGCATCTGAAGGACTTGAGTGGTGACAGAGGACCCGTCCTGTCCTCTCTGTGCCTTGGCTCAGGCAGACTAGGAATGTAGGGAGGGACAGGACAGGGGGCAAGCCCAGGAGCAGGAGCAGACTCCAGCCTAGAGCTCCTCCTGTTCCCCGGGTCACGTGCCAAGTTTGCTGCTGCCCTCTGCTCCCTGGCCATCACTGGTGCCATCCTTAGCTACGGAAGGATGCCGCCCCCTTGTACTAGGTCTTGCTGCACCGTTTCTGGGCCAGTGTAGTGATCTCTGGCCTCCCAATTTCCCTGGGGGTGAAGGGTGCAGCACGCCGCTCGGTGGTCGCCGACCCGACGGCCTCCCGCCCGTATCCCAGCTGCAGGCTCGGGCACCAGGGCAACAGGCTCGCCTGGCCGACTACTGCGCCGGGGCCATGTTCGTGCAGCAGCTGCTGAGCCGGGGCTACGGCTTTGATGAGCTCGCTTTCCGCGGTGTGGCCTTCCAGGAGAAGGTGGGACCGGCGGGGTGTGGTGGGCGGGACCTCCCTGGAGTGAGGCCGGGCTCCGGAGCTGAGGCCACGCCCCTTGCTCGCAGGCGGCGGACACAGCGGTCGGTTGGGCGCTCGGCTACATGCTAAACCTGACCAACATGATCCCCGCAGACCCGCCGGGGCTGCGCAAGGGGACCAATTTCAGCTCCTGGGTTGTCCTTTTGCTGCTCTTCGCTACAGCGCTCTTGGCCGCACTGGTCCTACTGCTGCTCCAGGTGCGCTCCGCCAAGTCGCCGAGCGCCATCTAGGGGCGGGCGGGTGCAGCTGCCCACCTCTGCCCGCCTCATCCTTATACGCCACCCCTGCGTACCCCATTCCTCCATCCTACTCTCGCCATCCTACTACCCTGCTTTCTACCCTCGCCGTCCCACCACCCCTCCACCCCACTCCCTGCATCCTCATCCCTCCATCCCTCCTGTGCCATCCCACCACGTCTCCACTCCACTCTCACTGTGCCCCCACCCAATCCCTGCTCCCTTCATCCCTGCTCCCTTCATCCCTCCACCCCACCCTTAGCGTCTCTGCCTCTAAGGCAGCACAGAGCACTGAGGCTGAGACCGCCTGGACCCACAGGGGTCCGGTGTGGTGATCTCTGGCCTCCCACTTTCCCTGGGATGTGAGGGGTCCAGCACACTGCCCTGTGGTCGCCGTCCCTACGGCCTCCTGTCCGTGTCCCAGCAGCACGTTGGGGCACCAGGGCAGCAGGCTCACCTGACCGACTACTGCGCTGGGGTCATGAACGTGCAGCAGCTGCTGAGCCGGGGCTACAGCTTCCAGCCCTCTCTGGCCACCTCTAACCTGGGCTTCCTCTCAGGCTTTGTGCCTTTCCTTCTCTTCTTGGGGTGAGGAACCTCTCAGCTAAGACTCAGGGTCTGCAGAAAATGGGGTCTTTATTCTGATACTCAGACCCTTCAGAATCCCCATCCGGTGAACTCGAGGTCTATATCTGGGAGAGGGTCAGAGCCCACAGGCTCTGAGCCGGCCCAGTGCTTACTAGTAAAAATTTTGTAATAAACAGTTTTTCCCAGAACAGTGAAAGGAGAGTGCATCCTTCCTTTTGTCCATTCCTCCTTCCTTCCAGCTGTGTTGGCCAGACAGGCCTGCCTGCCCCTGCTTATGAGGGTGGACACCAGCTCTTCCTACTTCCTCCCTCTCTCTGCCCATACCTGGGGAACTGGCCACTCCCCTGCACCGTCGTGGTGGCCCAGGGTAGTGGTGAGTGAGTACATCCTGGGTCTGAGTCTTTTCCAGCTGTCAGAGTCTCCATAAACCACCACACTCAGATCTGTGTCTGTGACCTAGTTGGGACTGAAGGCTGGACCCTGACCTAGAGTGGGGGTGGGTAGGTCAGGGTAGAGCCCAGGGGGGCCACTGCCTAGGGCACAGTCAGCATCGGTAGGGACTGCAGAGGGAAGGCAAGCCCTGTAGGAGGTGGCTATGGGGCAGGAGATGAGGTCAGGACCCAGAGCCCTATCCCATGGAGGGACAAGCCTCACAAAGAGCTTGGCTCTAGAGCCAAGCCATGCATTAGCACTGAGACACCTTGCCCCTCTCACCTGGGTACAGAGTTTTCTTACTTTCCTTTTTTTTCTTTTGAGACAGAGTCTCACTTGGTCACCCTTTGTAGAGTGCTGTAGCGTCTTAGCTCACATCAACTTCAAACTCTTGGGTTCAAGTGATTCTCATACCTCGGCCTCCTGAGTAGCTGGGGACAGGCACCCGCCACAAACCCCAGCTATTTTTAGAGAGGGAGGGTCTCACTCTGGCTGAGGTTGGTCTCCAACCTGTGAGCTCAGGCAATCCACCCACCTCAGCCTCCCAAGTGCTGGGATTACAGACGTGAGCCACCGTGCCCAGCCTGGGTACTAAGTTTCCTGCACATAGGAAGCATCCAGCAGTTTCTCCAGCCCCCTCCCCCAAGCTCTGTTTTCTCCAAGATGAGAAGGCTGGTCTTGGCTACTTCTCCCACCACCCACCTTTCTGGGAAGTGAGCTCAGACACTATTTCTGTCTGACTGGTGCTTGTGCAGAAGGGCAGTGGTTCTTATTCTGCGTGCCCCCCCCCACCTTTCTGCCATTTCTCCAGCTATTTCACCAAGCTGACAGGTTTCAAGACTCTGAGGACTCAGGGGAGGCACAGGGTTGAGGCTCATCCTGTTAATCACTAAACCAGAGAAATTGTTCCCAGTGAGATTTGGTTGGTGCGCTGTCAGGAGGCTGCATGGGGAGGTGTAAGGGCAGCATCATGCTGCTTGTTGTGTGGGGCCTCAGGGAACTAAAAGATGGTCACCTGGAGACCATGAACACCTTGGACAGCTCCCATCTCGCTGTCAGCAGCAGCTGTAGGTCATTCTTGCCCCCTGGTGGCCTTGCTGAGAGCGGCTGTCAGGACTGGACTAGGTCTGTGCCTGAGTGTTGGTTTTACCTGTGTGTATCCGAGTGCCCCAGTGCCTCTTTGGGCACACCTGTGCATCCCTGTGCACCTGTCTGCGTTTGGCGGTCCTGCGTTCCTGTGTGCTCCCGCCTCTAGGCCTGGGCAGTTCCATGAGGTGGGGGTGAGGGGCTGGCGGTCCGGCAGGGGAGAGGCAAGGAGGGCGCGCATTCTGGGAAATTGAGCGCCGGCCAATGCCAAGCCGGATTTCTGGGTGCCTAGGAACCCCGAAGCCCAGAGGGACCCAGAGAGGCCAGGACAGAGGGACAAGAGCTGTGGGGAGGAGCCCGCGGAGGGGTCGCAGCTTGCTGGCGCGGTCCCGCCCCCGCAGGTGGGGCGCGCAGGCGCATTCCCCAAGCGAGCCTCCCGCAGCGCCACCATCCCAGATCCTTTGCCGCAGCGTCAGCGCCGCCGCCGCCTTTTCCTCTTCCTCCTCCGCCCCCTCCCTCTCCTCCGCTTCTCCCGAAGTGGTGCCGGGAGCCTGCGCCCAGCCCCAGTCGTGCGGTGCCATGCTGTCCCATCGGCGGCGCTGAAGGATGGCGACGCCCGTCCCTCCGCCCTCGCCGCGGCACCTGCGGCTGCTGCGGCTGCTGCTTTCCGGCCTCGTCCTTGGCTCGGCCCTGCGCGGGGCCGCCGCCGCCAGCCGCCCGGGTGAGCGAGCGCGCTCGGCGCAGGCCTCGGGGCGCCCCGGGGTCTAGGATCGCCAGACGGGGGCCCGGGCTGTCCAGCCCTCGCTCGCCCAGGCCGCGCTGGCCCGCCTTGCCGGGCATGGGATATACAGGCATGGCCGGGAGGGCGCCGCGCCAGGACCGCCGAATAACTCCGCTGGATGGGGCTTCTCTGGGTTCCCGGAGGCCAACCTCAAGTTCCTGCGCTTCTTGTCCCTGTGCTTCTTGTTTTTGTCGCTGGGTCTGTGAGCCCCTCTGTGTCTCAGGAGGTTCTTCTCTGCCCTGGCGACGATCTGGCCTTGGGTGGGCCCGCCGGCCGAGGTCTGTCCAGTGAGCGTCTTTGCGTGTGTGTCTCCGCGGCTCCTACGGGTGCGGGGCCGTCCCTGGGTGCCTAGCGGCCCTGCTGGCTGTGTGTTTCCTGGGCCGGGGTTACAGTGCGCGTCTGCCCGTCCTTATGCCTTGGGTGGTGCCAGTGAGGCGCCTTGCATAGTCTGCCATGGGGGTGGGGTGGGGCAGTCAGTCTTCTGGGCACCTGACACTCTGTCCCAGGGTTAGGGTCTTATTCTAGCTTCCTGAGGGGGAGGCTGTTTTAGCCTCAGAGATTCCTCTTCCACCCCTTGCCCTCGAAGGCACTGGCCATTCTTTCTTCTGGACTAAGGGCTGTAGGTAGACTCTTGAAGACAGTGATGAGTCCAGGGGGACTCTCCCTGCTTCACAGATAGGAATGGAGGCTCCAGGCAGCCTGGGTCTGTAGGAACCCAGGATTAAAAGCTCACCTTTTGGGGCCGGGCACGGTGGCTCACACCTGTAATCCCAGCACTTTGGGAGGCCGAGCTCCCAAAGCTCATTGGGATGAGCTTGAGCTCATGAGTTGGAGACCAGCAAGAGCAAGATCTCATTTCTTTTTTTTTTTTTTT